ACCAATGTATTTAACCTCATAATCTTTTTATTTAAATATATATAACTATTGTATTTTAGAATCATAACAGTAGTATTTAAATTTATAGCTTTTTATTTGAAATTATAATTACCATATGTAATCATTGTATTTACTCATTTGAAACTATGTATTTTGTTATATTAGAGTGTATTTTACTTGCATAACAATTGTTGATGTATTTGACGTGTGAAATATAAATGTGATGACATCCTTGGTATTGGAACGGTATGTTCGGAGAACATGCAGAATGTAAAACAGGGGGTTGTATCATGATTTATATTTCAGTCAGTTTGACAGTGGTTGCCATGACATATACTGATAAAGGTTAATGACAAGACCAGATGGCGAGCTGGTCGAAATCAACCAAAAACATCTTATGACTCTGCAGTTTTTAAGATACAAGACAGTAGCTGTAATTCTAAACCAATGTTGTTTGCGATTTTAACTAAGGTGGTATCTTTGTGGAATGTTAGTGCAAGACTATTACCCCATAAATATTAGTTGGTGTTGACAATATATAGTAGTGTTTTTCTAGATAGCTTGACGAGTAATTAATTGATTATGATGTGTAAAACTTTCATGTGATTGGTTGTTTGTTTGAAGGCAAGGCCTTGGAGTCTCTTATACTGATTGTAATTGGTTAAGGGGTGACAAGAAATAAAGATTGATTTAATGCTGTCTCGGGTGAAAACCGGGGACTTGGCAGAGAATCGTTTTGGGAACATGAACGAAGCTTGTGTGTGTCTTTTGTCAGCCTAGCGTGGAAACGACCGAATCCCGGTTACCTAAGTGAAAGGTTTTTAACCATCAAAAATACCTATCACACTTTAAAATGTAAACCTAATCATATTTATATAAGGCAGAGCTAGACTATCACGATATTTAAATAATAACCTCATTATCCATGTTCATATTGAGTTCATCGAGACTAAAAGTCCTCAAAAATTATTATTTCCATATTTTAATATTCAGTTGACAGATGTAAGTCAACTTGTATACTCGTATGTATACTCGTTTGATTTTTACATATTTAAAAATCGTTGTTTTGTCGTCGAAGTCCGGGGATTAACGTACGACCGATGTACATTAACATCATGATACATCTTTACAAGTTCAAAGTGAAAAACAAATGACAGAATCAGTCGCTTCTCGTGTTGACAGATCTCAGTTGAGGAACAAGCCTACGCGGCTTGAATCACCAAGAATGTTTGTACTGATTATACTTTGTTTGTTTGTACACTGTCATGTTCCTGTCGTAATACTGACTTATATAGATTAGTTTTTCCCACGACACCAAAGGTTCTGGTGTTTTCCTGGAGCGGGAAATATCACGAATATCATCTCATGAAGGTAACATGGCAAACAAAAAATAAATGTGTCCTAGTAACAGTTCACTAGTTTACACAAGTAGTCTGTGAAAATGATTTATTACATAGTTGTAATAATTATACTAACATCCTTTGCTCATAATATAAATTTTGTAAGAATAACTGCCTAACTATGCCTAATAAATAAATTTACATTGTAACTATCTCAGGTCTGTCCACTGTTACAAATGTCTCAACATTGAACTGCTTAGTAATGCCTTGTTGTTGCTGGATTTCGCATCAAGCGTACCAGTTATTAGAAAGTAGTTTCATTGATATCACATGATATCAATGATGACTAGGTAACTTATGATGTCACAAATTCGTAGAATAGAAACAGAAATAGAATAGACAGTACCTCCTGTCACCCAATGTTTGTTCTCATGTCTTGCAAACATGACCCGTTATCGCGAGTTCGTGACATCGCGATGCAATACCTAAGTACCCTTCATTTTATCGAGTTCGTGAAAATATTCACCATGATACACTGTTCCAACTTGTATACATCATGGCAGAAGGTTTTGAAAACGGCCGTGTGACGTTTTGTGTTATGAACACATCCCAGGACTTCATATAGTTATCGACCTCCACCAAGTGTCAAGGTGGTTACGCTTAGTTTTGTAGATAAGACCGTGCTTATCATTATCAGTAAAGCTGTTGAGTCACCAAATGTTCTTCAAATGATTCATCCTATAGCCTATTAAAAAATCCAAAAGCCATTTTTACATCGATGGTCGTACACTCAGCTGTCATACTAACGACGAGATACATCTGTTTGTGTATTCGAATTCTGTAAAATTGTAACTTCGGTTAGACGTCGCCTCTCAAGTCAAATTTCCGCTACTTCTGGTTTGTGTCGATTTAAAAAAACACAGAAGCCGCGGGGTCAATGATAAATGATATGATAAATATAAGATAAAAAACGCTTAATTTCAACCGTTCATGAATGTTGACACTTCTAATTTTGGCATATCAGAAATAAGTTAATGAAAATATAATAAAAATGAGCAATAAATTGTTATTTTGTGTGTTGTATTTTTTCCAAAGTATTATGCACGGTATTAATGGGAACGGCCGTTCATTTGTCTCCTTGAACGGTGACATCCGGTTATCACATTTAACTGATGTTAATAAATCAGTATTGATACTGCGGGTTCGACCTCTAGTTACCTTATTCTGTCACAAATTTACATCAAAGTAATCCTTCACATTGACATGGTACCCGATACATGTGCCAATGTCTCACACATATGACGTGGCATGCCATCAAGAAAACATGTATAACAGAGATTGTTTGAGAGGGCGTAGTGTCAATATTTTGAAGCAGCAGCGAATTATCGTGAGGTTGGGAATTTATCATGGGCATAATTTTTTATAAATAGCGGAAATATTCGAAGACGCTCAGCGTCGTTTTGCGTCACTGGATTCACTCCAGGAGCACATCAAAGAGTAGTCGTACCCTTCGTGCCAAATTGCCACTACTTCTGAATTGTGTAGAATTTTGAATGAAAGAAGCCGCAGGGCTGTATGAATAAACAAAATGATTGATCAAATGATGCGCATCACATTTTTATGTGTTGGTATTTAACCATGGTAACACTGATTCAGTTTTAATCATAAGCAAATGTACGTCATTACGATAAGAACGATATAAACCAATCAGGTCTCGTTACAAGAATCATATCATTAGTGTATTTACTATAAGGGTGGAACCATATCAAGTATAAATAGTACGTACGTTGTCTCACACTTAATAGAGCAAAGCACAAATGTTTCAGTTCCTGACCATTAATAACGCACCAGTAGTTTCATTTAGACTGTAGTGTCGCTTAGCAACTGAAAGATGAACAGTAAGGTGAGTTTCAAATGAAAATTTCTTTTATTAACATTGTAAGATGGAAAATATTGTCCAAATTACTTGCAAACCAGGAGATATACTGTGCTCATATACCTTTTCTTTTTATTATATTATCTAACACAACCCTATTTTCATAGATTTATTTGGTTCTTCTCTGCGTGTTAGCCGTGTATATCGCAACTATACAGGCCCAGACGGCAGAGCCAGTGATTACGGAATCTGTTACAGACGGGGACACCAACTCAACGGATCTAGAAACAATCGATACCCCAACTGAAGGTGAGAAAATTACATAAAATCTTTGCTATTTTTTGGATACTTTGTGAATACTGTCGCCCAGGAAAATACACACTTTTCGAGACTGAAAAAATCACAAACTGCACGGATTTTGTTGGTAAAAACAACCACCCAGTATTATACTTTAACTTGGTGATAAATCAAACGAGCTAGTAGGTGAAACTAAACCAAAAAATAATTTGTTATCATCAGGACAACCCTAGAGTTTGGAATACCCCAGCTATAAACGACCACGTCACCAAATATTTCCATGGTAACATTTAAATACAATATTCTGGTACGTTGTCTAATTTCTCCGTAAAAGACTCAAACCTAGGTCTATTATTTAGAAATAAGCGTTGCTCGCAATCTTGTCTCCAACTTTAGAGAACAATTCTGTCAGTGTGGTGAGAATTTTAGTAACTATGGTGATATGTTGTATAATCAGATGATTCGGCTGCAAACGTGGTGCATTTATATTTAAAAATATAACAAGGTATTTAGTCACGTTATTGTTTCTATTTTCGTCATTTATTACAGAAAGCACAGCCAGCTCTATGACTTCGTTGGTTGGCGTAGTGCTTACCTCCTTGATACTCACGTTAGCAAAACAGTAACCAGGCGACCCAAGAAGCCGGATATTTCAGGTGGTGGCACTGAGTGGATGATAAGCTTATCATCGAGTATCAATACAATGACGTGTGAGCATGTGACCCACAACGAAGTTATCAAGAATTATGATATGTATATTTAAAGACAAAAAGAAATCCTTTTGTAGAAATTGACAACTGTGCATCAGAGCTGATGACGTCTCCTGATAGTGACGTGTAAACATTGTGCATCATCAAGACATCACTGTGATAATTATGAACCACATGCTTACCTGATAGACATCAAATTGAAATGCTAAACAAATTTTATATATAAATATCGCTATATAGATTGTATGTCACGATATGACGGAACTGAAGAACACACGTAATTTGCACATGTTGTTGATCTTTCATATTAGGTATATTGTGCGTTTGCTAGACAAACTGTTAAGTTTATTAACGTATCCCATTGATACTATTTATTATTTTACTGAATAAACACACTCAATAAAATAGTTTGTACTTAATATATGCGATGTTAATTAAATCCCCTAAAGAATGTTGGTTTGGCGTATTATCAGGGGGAAATTCTTCTCCACGGGGTTCTCCACACGTGTCAGGGGGAAAACTCGTCTCGTCTCTCTATATCTCGTCCCCTTGAGGTACGGGATCGGGAAAGTCACTTTAACTTTACAGTCAAATAAGGCACACACAACGAAATACGTTTCAACTCTCGTCTTAGTCGATCTTTCGAGCACTCTGTAAGACACAGCGCCCTGGGGAAAAGTCCCCAAGACTCTCACAAGGCTGAACCAAGACTCGCCCAAGACTGGACTGCCTCAAGGCTCGCCCCTGGACTGGACTCGCGACTGCGTCTGTCGTGGAGTATTCGCCAAGACCAACTCAAACTCTTTATTCATTTTCAAAACTCTAACCAATTACAAAACAGTAAAAGACTCTAGGGCGTAACCTTCAATCATAAAGCCAATCACACTAAGTACTGAATACGTCATATCTTTTGATTAATCGTTCACTACATTAATAACTACGGATATAAACTGTCAGAATCGCGACGGTTATCTGGTAATTAGTTCCAAATCACTGAGCCAAATTCCGTCCAAAACTTCAAATAGACCTAAACGATGACGGACATAACACAGCAATTCGCTCGTAATCAACTAATTAAGTCGGTTAACAGATACGCGAAAACAAATTCATGACAGTATATAAACACATAGCAATTAGGCTAAGCATGGATGTTGAGTTATTGCAACATGTTTGTAATTAGTTCTGTATGAAGTTTATGATATCAGGTATATAATATTGGGAACACTTTGCAGTATATCTATGCGCATTCCTTCAAACAAATCTACTGTTGTCCTCACAGAGCTTACATTATACAGCTGATCAATTTATATACTAGTATCATGTGTGGCTATTGATAAATCTATTTGCAGCCAAAATCTTAACATCTGAAACGAACTTGTCCCACATGACAAAGTCGCTTAATCAGAGTTCATGTGTGACAGTCAACATATACAGTTATTTATATGCCTTAACGTGAAATGCTGGAGTTACAGAGCCGTCAGTACATACTACATGGGTTGTCGATATATCAGTGTTAAACTGTTGTACCACAGACCTTGTGGGATTCTATACAAACTGTTCAAAACTTGTTTATCTGCTCCAGTTGATAGTTGTCATGGCGATACATGTTATAACTTGTTCTGTTTGATACCCGTAATTGTGAAGTTTATTTAAGGTGTATGACGTGGACACACGTATAGTTAGTGTCGTAGCACTTAATGAAAAGATAACATACATTTTAGACTGACCATAGGTATTCCAGTGATTTTCTATACGGTAGTTACGTGTAGTATTAAACTGTGTCTTGCTATTCACAAGATATGAGCTAGGGTACCCTACCGTTCACCCACGAGATGCTACCAATAAATAGGGTAACCAATCTGATGAGAGTGCAACTAATTGTAATCGTACCTCTATTCACAATGTCCACGACAATCTGGCATATCACCATCAGACACAGGTTGGTTAGGAACATAAACATTGGCGAGATATACTAATCAGGATCATCTGAATGGTGTCCAACATGATAAAAGCAATTTGGTTTTGACGAAAATGTTGAAAAAAGCTGTTAGGACCAACATACAACTTTATTCAACTTTAATATTGATCTAAAACAAGATGCGCATACTTGCATAGCACTGTTCTGATAACAATTTTTGTCTTTAAAACCATGATCTGAAACATTAATTTGATCAGTATGTGAATAACAAAGTAGAAACATAACAGGACAGTCATAAAAAACGGGACAAAGAATAACATCTAAAACTTTTGAAATCCTGCCGTATTTGATGGCATATCCCGACTAATATAGAATGGTAGTTGTTGACCAAATTTTCTGTTTGTCCTATTTTATTGTGGTAAATGAAAGCGAAATCATCCTTCATTATATGAAGCAATATATTGCAAAACACTTTCACTATGTAATGCAAAGCTTTAAAGATATTGCTCATGTTACTGCAAATTCCTTTAAGCAAATACTATTCGGAAGTCTGAATTCTTATTAGTCCATCAATAAATTAAAATAGAAGCAGCTAAGTAACATGATATGCGACACCCACATTTAAAGTTATACATTGGGGAGAGGTAGTATCACACAGGGGAGGTTGTTGTTGGCAAGTAAGTGATATAATTAAATACTGTATATATTTTAAAGAGTTTAGAAAAGAAAAGAAAAAAAGATTCAGTTCAATCAATAGATGACCTAGTACGTCTGGAGGCTTTAATAAGAAATAACAATTATCCTTATCACCGAATTAATCTTTTTTGTGTTACCGGTAAATATTTGTGTGCAAAACAACCTGTCAGTGATATTTGTACTATAGCGAAGGGGCATATACACAGTAAATGTATTTGAATGATCAAAATAACAATAGCAAATGACAGACTTGACAGTCATTTGTGTTTGAGGGTACTGGTATATAAATATCTTGATTTATTGACTAAGTCATCAAAGTTATACAGCTTTTAAAATAAGCAGTTTTTACAAGATACTCTGACACGTACTGAAAACACAAATTCTTTAAAAAATAGAAGCATAAGAATCCACCAAATCTCAAGAAAATCCACTTTTTAACTTCTCTGCAGTTCATTTTGTCATAAGATACATTTTCCATAAAAAACAGAAAAGAAATCTTAGTTTGATTAAAAATGCGATAGACAATTGGATCTCCTGATCACCCCTTAAGATGATCTGCAGCTATGATACTGGTAGCAAAGAATAACCAAGAGTATGAACGACAAATCTAAAACTTGAATTCTTTGTATTTCTTGCTTGGCTTGTTTTCTTGATTTTGCTGTTGTTTCCTCTTTTTCTAAAAAAATAATATGTAAAAGAGAATATGTGAAATGTAGAATTTATAAAAAAAATATGCTTGAATATAATTTTAAGTTCTGAGGTATTTAAAATCTTACCACTAGAGGGGGCATAAATAGACTACTAAACTGTACAACTGGCTATGCAAAATCTGTGCATATCTAATCAACATAGAGAATGAATATCCATCCAAAAATTATGGAAACTAATGAACGAAATACAATTATTTACTTTTTGTTTAGCTGCATGCTCTGCTACCATATCACTGAGGTCCTCTTTTTCTAACTGATTCTGTTGTTCTCGAACTTTTTCCTCGTATCTATATAAAAGAAAAACATATCAAATTTGGAGTTACTCATCGGCAATAGAAAAACAGATTTGTAACTCTGATCTGGAAAATCCAAAATGGTTGAAGAGACTTGATCTCCAAACGTGAGGAAATTGTGATAATAATATTTATATGATACAGCAGAGTCATAATTATAGAAACACAGAAAGACAAGAATGAACTTGCTTACTTGGCTTCAATTGCAGCTGTGTCCATATCCAGCTCACTGGGATCAAGAGCAACAGCAACACCTAAATCTCCACCGGATCCTGGCATTAATGGTTTTTTAGTCTGATGAACAACGAAAAACATGATTTACTTAAAGAGAGAAGTATTATCAAATACGCAATGATCTAGACATTACATGGCTACTTACAGAAGGTGAGACATTATTAGTGTATATGATGATAATGATTTAGACATCACATGGCTACTTACAGGAGGTGGGACATTATTAGTGTATGTGATAATAATGATCTAGACATTACATTGCTACTTACAGGAGGTGGGACATCGTAAGTGTATGTAGATCCCATCATGGTGGCACCAACTGGACCTGCTTTCTTCTCTGGCAGTATGGTGTATAACTGTGGTGTCTCTCCACCTTGCTCCATGGCATCTTCTATCTTCTTTTTCCTGAGTTCTATCATTTCTGGTGTTTCCATACCAGCTGGCACTGATGTTATTCCACTAGGTGTGATCAAACCACTGCAAGGAAACAAAGCAAATCACAGGTGAATACAAATGCAATGTTTGTATTGCCCTGCCAGAAAAGGCACACATGTTCACTGCATGTAAACATTAACAACAAAATCTCACAGGCAGAAATTTTCATTTTAAACAAATAATGAAAGTTATAGTTAGTAGAATTCTCCCCATAGCTTTGAAAGTGATAGTTGGTAAGATTTTCCCCAAACCATTGAAAGTGGTTTTTGGTTGTGTTTTCCCCATAGCATTGAAAGTGTAGTTTGATCATAAGTACTGTGCAGGAATCATCTTAATTTGCCCAGTAGTAGTAGTGGTCAAAAATGTCCATAAAGGACAGTCAGTAGAAGTCAGTCACGGTCTTGTTGAATTGGCGGACCAGTTAGTAATAGGTAATTTTCATGTTTTCAATTTTTGTCAAGAATTCCTTAAACCCTGAAGCCGAAATCAGGGGTGCAGTTACTATTACGTAATATGTAGTTTATATTAGGAATTTTATGGTACCTTTTATTTAGAAAGAGGGTCAAATCAGAAATATGGTTAATTGAGAATTGCCTTTCAATAAAAAGATGTTTTGCCCATGTACAACCAGATTAGTATAATTTAATAATAACGATCAACGGCCAAAATTGATCGCATTTTGCAATCCCACATTAAAAACAGAACAAACAAATGCTTTATTGTTTAGTTTGGATATTTTGTTTGTAAGGTAAATAAAAAATCTTTTTTTCTTTGTTTACAGGATGACGAGAATTTGCCTTAGAAGTGTTAGACCGTCCAATGAAGTGCCCAATGACAATGGGTATCAATATTATAGTGTCGATCGAAAACAAGCTAGTTTTATAATTCATTTGAAACTTTGCTGTTAATATGCCAATGATTCAGACGATATAATTATCGTGTCTTATTCGCAACTTCACAACCCAAAGTTGCGATGGACCTCCTCTTCTTTTATCCTGAAAGACTACGTACTTGGTAATCTGAACATAACATATGGCCACTTTCCTATTAGCGATTCACCAGTAGCTATTGGCTATTGCTGCAACCACCTGATGGAAATCTGGGTGGTAGTTAAACAAAGGTTCAAGTGTGAACAGGTTTACAATAGAGTGGTCGGTGGTCACGTTAGACAGATGTTCTTTATATCCAGTGTCTTTGATGTGTAAACAGCAAAAGGACTGCACAAAGGTGGTCACTCTTTACAGGTGGCTGTTTGGCTGTATAAAACACAACATGGTAATTATTGACTAGTTAATAATACCACATATGGTATTTTGTCTTACCCCTCAGCTGGTGTTATTAAACCTGTATCATCAGGTACTTCATCCTCCTCTTCTGATGATTCTTCCTCTTCTGATTCTTCTTCTGATTCACTTTCTAACTCACCCCAAGGTGTCTTGTCAATGTCTTCCTCTTCACTAGGTGTCTGAAAAATGTAAATATTTATAGTCATTAACACAGGTAGATTCCATTCAGCCCACTGCTGAAACTAAAGTTTAACAAAAGTGTACGAGGAGGATATATTAGGATATCTTATTACTAGGGAGTTCTCAATAAAAACAAGTCATTGTCAATGACATATACATTCAAAGCAGATCATGACCGAAATGCACCTGCATATGTACAACACATTGTACTAAATCTGAACAAAATCCATCCATGCATGACTGAGATCTGGTTCCGGAATTGTGAAAATACGTGATTTTGATGCATTTTCGGCCTTAAAATGGCCATCATTCAGCTATTGTTAAGCGGATCATGAAACAAATGCACATATCTATTTGTGACATGATGTACCATGTGTGTGTGAAGTTTGAACTTGATCAATCCAGACATGTCTTGGATACGGATCCAGAACTGAATTCTTTAACAAAATGGCCGCCAGTCGGCCATTTCGAACTTGATCCGAAAAAAAAAAAGACGTGCATCAAGGTCCTATTATGTTTAATGTATGTACCAAATTTGAACAAAATCTGTCCATGCATAACTGAGATCCGCGTTCGGAATGGTGAAAATGTGTGATTTCAATGCATTTTCGGCCTTAAAGCGGCCGCCATTTGGCTATCGTTAATGAGATCATGAAACAAATGCATGTGCATATGTCCCATATAATGTGTGATGTATGATTGAAGTTTGAACTTAATCGGTCCATGCATGTTCGAGATACAGGTGATCATGGAAGCACGCACGGACGCACACAGGGCAAAACATAAGTCCCCGTTTTCGGACTACGTCCGAAAGGGGACTAAATATAGTTAGGAAGTTTAACATGTTACACATGCCCGGTACATAGTTTGAGACAGCGCCCCCAGTGTTAACAATGAGAATCAACAGACAGACACATTTTTTATTGTTGCTCAGACCTATAACATATTTTATCTATGTCAGAAAACACAGTCACAGAAACATTCAGGTCATTGTTTTATAATCATCATGAAATTAGATCATCTTACAATAATACTGATCAATTTGGAAATACTATTAAAGATATTCTGTAGTTAGAGAATTACCTGAAAATCGGAAGCATTTGTACCAAAGACATCACCATAAAGTGGTTTACCAGATTCATCAACAGGTGGTTTACCCCAGCCACCAGCATGATAACCAAAAGAACATGTCTGAAGGAAAAAAACGAAGCAAGTAATCATTTACTAAACAGAATAGAAAGACAGCTGTATAATTATGTTAATCTTTAAACAATATACATACTAGAAATACTCATTAGAAAATAATTTTTTAAATAACTTGTAGATGAGCAGGTACATGTATATGGCAAACACTGGTATCTTTGCTGTTGTATCTTATGTTTGAGTATTCCATGCAACACAACCCTGATTGCTGTGTGTAATATTTATCACAGTAGGTTATTTACAATGGCATAACTTCACAGTCTCTGAAAACATTTCTCTAAATTTGACCTGGTCTAGTATTGTGAATGAAATGCACATCATTGAGCATTACACAATTGCTTTGCTTCAAACTTTGGATTCAGCACGATTTACTTTTATTATTAATTTTTTTTTTCAAACATTCATCATCAACTTACCATGTTGACAAAAATTGTTATGGTTGGACAAATCACGTTTAAATACAAAGATAGATGAGACATTGGCTGTCCCTGTTCTTTCTAATGTCTGCATTTAAATACAAAGATAGATGAGACATTGGCTGTCCCTGTTCTTTCTAATGTCTGCATTTAAATACAAGTTCAACATATAATGGTGAGCAAAGCTTACTTCTGGTATAGGTGCATTGAGACCAGGAACTTTCAGATTAGGATAGGAGGGTGGTGGACCATAACGTTGCATTGCTATCAACCACGGAGGTGGGAATTTATGAGCATTCTGAAAGATGAACATGAAATGCATTAATTGATGCGATCATTTATTACATAAATGACAATTATTTCCATGATTAAAATACAGCATTTATCATTAGATGACTATGTTAATTTGCAAATTAAATTTTTGCTTGAGTATACCAAAAACAATATACTAAAACACAGCTTCATGGTGTAGTGCACACAAGTCATAGTATTCAATTATACCCAGCTTAAAAGTAAGACACTTACTGGACCAACTGGCATTCCAAGTGCTGTTCGAAGGTCATCAGATAACTCCCCTGGTTTCTTTTCCTTTAACCTAGTTTCAAACTCTTTACCTTCATAGTATAAATCACCATGAATAGTCATCTTGGGTTTGCTTTGCCATCTGAATAAATACAGAAAATAGAAGTATAAAATACACCTGGAGTGTGTTCGTGTTGTCGCCTTGTGGTGACAATGGGGGCGCCTGGCACCTGCCCAGTTTTTGATAAAAAGATAGCGAATGACGAAATTGATAGGTAAAACATGTTTAAGTGATTTTTTCAAACATAAAATGCAACTGGGCGTGATTTTAAAATAAATTTTATACATTTTACGCAAGTTTCGATCGCATAGCAGTGGACCAATGCGATCACGTGACACTACTTCCAAGGATTATTTTTCCTCTGGGAACCCTTACGTTGCAAAGGTCACTACTGCCACACCACTTGGGCACCCCGAGGGAGTGGCGCGAATGCACTCCTGTTAAAGTTCATGGTGGAATGTTAGATAAGTGACTGCATTGAATGTTTATAAGTTGCCTTATTTGCAAATGGCAGCCGAGATCTTGTGAGAAAGCCACGACTTGTTTTCTCAAACAGTATTTCATTTTCTACCACGTGGTGTCCACTTGAATTTATTATAAAACATTGAAGCAGAGCATTTATAGACACGTCAAAGTTAAGTCACGTCAAGTCAGTCAAAATTATTAAAAGACTGCATGCCCACCAGTAACTACTCCTGAACTTTGATCCACCAATAAAACCATTCTCACCACAAGTGATAGTTTTTGATTTTTAATAGTTGTAAAAAGTAGAATGTCATTTTTACAATCAACAATTGGGCTTGACTTCATCAATGTTGCCGAGTTCCCATCAATCACAAATATTTGTGAGTTTAATGTTGGGCATGCTTTTCGTAGATTATTAAAAGGTCACCTTCAGTGTGGGGAAACAATGTTGTTGTTTTTTTTAAAACAAGACCTGACAGTCGAAATAGCTCTGCTATCCTACAAGAACATTATGGTAGCAAAGTTGTTCCAAAAATATTGGCAGTCTACAAGAAGACTTTAAAAATATTTGCCAAAAATAGTAAATTGAAGGCACCTACATGCCAAGTATCAAAGCAATAACCTATTTTCCACTTAGGGAAACGCGCAATAATCCGAAATGTAAGGTATCCATGAAGTAGTAGTGTAGAACAATTTATTTAGTATCCCCACCGTTAAAGTCCTAATATAAACCGCATACGTAATAGTAACCGCAACCCCAATTCCGGCTTTGGGGTTAAAGAGTTCTTAACAAAAATTGAAAACTTTAAAAGTACCTATTACTAACTGCACTCCCAATTCAACAAGACCGTGACTGACTTCATTGTTTCAACCAGCTGTTCTAAAACGGCATTGTTCCTAATCCTATTCATTTGTTTCGACAACATGCCTAAAAATATTCACACCTATTTATTGTTCAGCGGTGATAAGATGTCAGACAGGCAATGAAACTGCTTTTGTTCTGGCGGCGACCTCTGTCAATACTCTTTCTGAATACGTCTGTGTTTCACAAGTTTTAGACAATGAACTTTTATCACCGTAAAAGTGTTAAACTAAGCATTGAAGAATAATTTATCTTTCGAAAACAAATAATTTCTTGGTTTAAAAAAAAATCATGCCGTTTTCCCATGGAAATCAAAGGCAAAAGATCGCACTACATTATCGGTAAATCTCTTCCGTGTTGCGTTCACCATGAGGTCGCTGAACTGTCATTAACATAATTAAATGAGCTATGTAATTTAGACACGTGGGCACCATCCAGCATTTTGATTGGTTAATTAGCGACTTGACCTATCCGATCAATAATACGTCACATGAGCATTCAAAAACATGGCGGATATCGTATCGGCTGTTTACATGTGACTGAAATCATTCGCTTACAGGGAAACTAAGTTGAATTTTACTTGCATTTTATAACAATTCAACGAATTTATTTTTCGTGCGTTATTGTAATCACTACTAAATAATAATCACCAATATCAACACTTCGAATCACTACTAAATAATAATCACCAATATCAACACTTCGAATCATTTCGAATCACTACTAAATAATAATCACCAATATCAACACTTCGAAAACAAGTTATTCACTTGTGACCCGCAGCATGGCCGGATCGAGCTACCGTTCTGTGATCATTTGCTACTAAGCAGTGCATTCGTGTTTTTATTTGAAACTTCTGTTAGAATATACTTTACGTTACCAAGAAAATTAAAAAAATAAATGCATATTACATTAAAAATACTGAGTATTTTTTGTATCATGTGGAAATTTTGTTTGATTGACTGTAATTTTTCAACATTTCGTAACGCCTATTTTAGAACCAAAATACAGTACTCATTTCGCCGAACCTCCCGCCCGCTTCCGGATTTCGATCGCTTTTTTTTCGCTCGCTTTGTTCAATTCGACCGCGCAATTTCCGCTTTTTTTTCGACCGCGCAAATCCGGAAGTATCCGCTCGCGCAATCGCTCGCTCGCTCGCCTGACAGCGCAACCGCCCGCATTTACAGTTCATTACCTACTGTTTCATGTACAAGTGTATCATTTTTGTTTTTATGATATTAAAATAAGAATAAATACAATCAGAAATTTATAGAACGACCGTTGAAAAAAATACGGTGGATCACACGGCCATGTAAAATTGGTAATAATACATACGCTTAGTAATAATGTCCACCATAAACAAGATCGAACCAAACATGTGAAATCAAATACGACACTGACACAGACACAACTAATATGAAATAAAACCATTCTATTTTTGATGGAGAGCGAAAAATGTCTACTGTAGAGTACGGTATTCGTTGAGTAACCGTGTGTCGGGTGACGGTTGTCATGCACGCATGGTTTGGGTTTAACACGGATCAAGATGTACATGTAGTTATGTTAAAATCCGTGGCACCTATAACAATTGAAGAATATCTGCAGGAATAGTAAGACTGTGAAAAAAACGACTGATCGATTGTTATAGAATGACCGTAGTGTACAATTTGTCAAGCAAATACAATACTTGCAAATGTAATGTCGGCCAGCGCCCATCTTACTTGTCCGAAGTTGTCGAAGCTGACATCACTGGAGATCGCGTTTTTTAACTAGCGGCTGGCAAGCGGACTAACACGTTACATAAACCTGTTGAATTACAATTATGGTTTTTATGTTT